CAATTTGTAAAATAAACTTGCTTTTCTTTCTTTTAACCACACCCTAGGTAAACATGACAACACTTACACTATAGGTGCTTCGTTTATGAGTTAATCCTACAAGGTAACCTTTGATTCACCTTTAATTCAAGCCTTGAATTAAATATGAGCAGTTTCTCTCTTCGCAAAATAAAAATTTTCCTCGAATGATAATATCTTCTTTTGTCGCTGGAATGACTATCATCTTTCATTCAAACAAGCGAGGAAAACTGTTTTATTACTGGCAGGTGTTCCTGAAGAACTGTCTGTCATGTTTTTGATTTTGAAATATTTCACTTTTGAAGCTAATTTCCTCTTTGCCTTTGCTTAGTGTAATCAGCGTAAATTGTAACCTCGCATCATTTAATATTTTTGGCCGATGTATGAGTTAAGAACAAAACACAACACGAAAAAAAACATACCCAAACAAGGCGACGCTCCTCGAGAACTATTTTGTATTTGACAGAGAAAAAGTTGAAAATCGAGGATTTAAACTTGCGAAGGAAAATAATGTGCAGATTCAGAAATGTAAGAAAATGAGGAAGATTCCCAATATTTGATTCTTCAAAAATAATGCAAAGAAACGCAAAGTTATGATGGAGTTACAGGTTCCTTTTTTAAGCGGGTTAACGCGTATAAAAAAATACGGCGAAATTAAGCATCGTCTGGGAATAAAAACGCTTCTGAGAACGATTTATTTTAAGTGGCTGTGTAAAGTTAAACGTTTTCTACACAAAATTAGAAGGTCAAAACCACTCCTTTGTCACCGAGTACGCCAGCATGCGTTGCGCTTAGATGAATGGCATCGAGTAAGGATACCGAGTGCCGATACTTTTTAAATTTTGCCCTTTCTGTACAACGGTCAACAGTAAGTAACGTAATTCTTGAGAAGGGCCACAGTGAGTAGCAATTGAAAACGACATACAACAGACGCATTTGGCGGTTGAGACATAATCTGTGGATTCCGAAACCTTCTCGTAGATTGAGAAACTCTTGTGGCTATTTTTAGAAAGAAAGATTGTTATCGGTTTTCTTAAAAGGTATATACAAATTTATAGTTGTTTTCTCTTTCTAGTTAACACCTCGTTTTCGAATTCCGCAGGATGTAAATATCTGAACATTCGTTCATAGCTTAATTTATTTGCCAATAAATTTCTTTACAATGCATGACGAAGATTGACTCAGAAATAATTCTCGCTAGTATTTCAACAAGACATTTTTATGGACAAACATTTTTGCTGAACCGATGCACATATTTGTGATCTCTGAATTTCAAGACAGAGAGAGCAAATACTTTCTCTGTATACAGAGTACATGGCGAAACTCTTTCGATTGAAATCAATATTGACCCTGATAATAAATTGTGATAAATTTTAGACAAATAGTTAGCTGTAAAAACATAGTGTTTCAACCAGGACTCCAACGGACTTTATCACCATGATCTAAACATATTAACTAAATAAACTGTTTTTAATTTTGGTTACTGCATAATATGTGTACAGTCGGTGCTGTGCCTTGAATCATTCAATGGAAGCTAAAGTGGTGTTTTTTTCAAGTATGTAAACTGTAATTTAAAGTGCTAACAGTCTGTAGTGGGAGTAATTCACTCAAGAGCTACTCCGAGTGAAGTTTTCCGAGGTTATTTTATTGCATATAAACACAAGCGACGAAGAAGTATTTCAATCCTAATCTTTTGTCCAACAAAAGCGTAATATCTTACCTACATCTCTACGGAAACTTTAAACGCTTCCATTAACTCGTGGTGTAAAGCTTGTAGAATTGCAAAGCTTTTCATCCTTTGACGAACATACCTTCAATTCACCTTCCTTCATTCTTGAAACTAAAATTAACTGGAGGTTAAAAAAGCCAGACACTCACTCATGGTAGAAAGCGAAAGCTTACCTGTCAGTTAAATGATGTTCTTATACCAGGGAAGGAACTGCAAGAGTGTAAAACTGATAGATGGTAGACTATGTGATAGCCTCTAAGGTGTCCGAATGTCTCCAAGAGCCTTGGAAATTATGTACAGAAAAATTCAGTATTGAATAAGTTACAGGGCGGCGAGTGCCTTTGATGTCCAAGTCAATAATTTCATCACTTGTGAATGATTGTTGCATATGACTTGATACCCGGTATTGAGTTAACGGCTTATTATCTCGCGAATTACTTACGAATATCCAGATGAAAAAGCCGGCGTTAATTTTGCCATGTCCTGTTTTCATAAATATATCAGAAAACTTCATATTCTCGGCTCGCAGCTAAAAGGAAAAAGAAATAACTTTGGAGTCTTTCAAAAGCAATTTTGGCTCGCCGATTTCTTGCGTCTTTTTTTTAGTAATTTTTATTTTGGTGACCGCAAATCGAAAATGTGTTCAAAAACTCCTGTCAAAACAATACCATATGAAAACAATTCCGCCAAATATAGCGGAATTAGAATAAAGAATATTAATAAAAGACTGTTTGCAATCTTAAATAAGGATTTTGTAGAGCGGGCAGATTATACACAAACAAAGCAATATACTTCTATCAATGAAACTTATGTCTGGTAAATTGACGTTTAGCGTTTCAGAAGAAAATTCATGCGTCTATCTTTATTAATCTTTTAATCAAGCGGCTACTTTGAAATACTTCGCAGGAGTAAAGCGCATAGGAAATGCATGTGAAATTGTTAATTTTCGGAAATAAGAACTTGTTCTTAGTGGCAAAAACTGGGGAGGCGTGACATGCGATTAAAAGAATATTTGTCAATGGTTGGAGCTACTCTCTCTGACAATAGATCGCCTTTGTTCGCTTGAAAATCTAGCCACGCGTAAAAGCTGAAAGAAATGTTAAATACCAGGTTACTTTAACACAAAGGCAAGCTTATGAAGCGGTCAAATATGCGTCTTAAAACCTTTGTTACTATTGTTCATGGTTAAATCAGGAAAAAAGCTAATGATAATGCCGTACTTTGCCGGCCAATTGACTTCTTTTTTGTAAGGAATTCAAAGGATTGAAGGTGCTTGGCTTTCAACAAAGCAAGCTTTGGTTTAGTGGTTTTCTCTATCAATTATCTTAACGCAGGTATATGTTTCTGGTAATTATTCTTCATTAGGCCATCGTTCGCCATTTTTCGGTCTTTTCAAATTTCAATCTCCGTTCATGTGAAGTTGGTACAAAGTGGAAGGAATATATTTGTTGTTGTTGTTTTTTTTTTACAGAAAGATTCAATAAGTTTTATCCAGTAACACATATCAACATTGTTACAATTTCAATTTCTTTGAAATAGGTCGCTGGTAATTCTAACTGTTGCCTTGTACATGCAAAAAAAGCAGCAGAAATACGGATATCTTATAGATACAGGGAAAATTAATCAGAAAACCCGTTTTTTCTTGGGTTCTGTGATCTTCCTCGTTCGGCTAGTGAACCGTTCGGCCAATGCAACATGAAATTAAAGCATAATGGTTTACCCGTTGTCTTTATCAGTAAGTATATTTAAATCGCTCTTTTCTAATCAAGTTGAACAAGAATAGCAAAAAGGTGAAATATCCGTTAGAAAAAAAATCCGCCTGCCGCAATTTACCCTGTAACGATTCCACCGCCATATGGGCTTGTTTGATTGTGGCGGACGGCTAACGCCGGCGATAAATTAGAACAATGCCAGTTACGAAACCACGAATTACCTACAAGAAACTTGACTTAAAACACCTGCAGTCTGGTCGTTACCAGCGCCTAATAATCAATTAACTCTCGAATTTGGGTACTCAACGAATTTTTTTTCGCTTGTTATCATGAATTTACCTTATCTCGAATGCACAAAAAACGGCCGACATCCCCAAACCACATCAAGTATGTAAACAAGAAGGAAGGAAAAAAGTGCCGAAGCCAAAATCTTTAAGTGACTGTTATTTTTTAGGAACTAACAGATTCACACCTCCATATCGGTTCTCTTTGACACTGATATAAATTATATGAAATAAAGAAGACTTTTAAATTCATAATGTGACGACCATTTATTATTTCCTGTTCGTTAAAATACCTTATGTTGATCAATGCACTCCTTTGAAAGGGCGCCTCTTGCTTCTTGCTAAACTGAACTAAATACGAATCGCTAGTAAAGTATGTTATTGAACTCTTTTCAATATTAAACGAAAAGCTTTCACTGATGTAAGAGTTTATCAAAAGCAACCTTAAACTTCTCCTTTTAGTTCCTTTTTTAATATAATTAGAGAAACTTCATTTACAGCATAGCGGGTGGCTTGGGTGGCCTGTCACAAATCGAATTTATAAGGTGCGTCAAAGTTTTCCCTTCAAGCTTCAATTTTTTTTATTTACATTGTAGATGAAAAGTTTAGAAAAGTTTAAAATAACGAACCAGTTTTTGAAAATGAAAATCTCGTCGATAGCCAATATGCTTCTATGAGTGATTCGAAAAGGACATTTGTCGACAAAATTGCGAAGCTTTTCCCATGGATGTTTTCCTTCAGACAGAACTGATCCTAAAAAGATTTCTCAGTCAGAAAGGCAATGAACGAAGAGTAGTCAGTTTCACTTGTCGTGACCCGCAATCAAGAGGAGTATATGCGACTTTAAGATCGGTGATGCACTTAATTTAAAAACACAGCTTTCTTCCGACAATATTTCACCTTTATCCTTAAACTATGAGAAATGTATTGTGCTCATGTGTGGCATACAACAAATTTTGTGTGGCGAATATTCTTTTGCGTCGAAGTGACTTTGAAGCGGAGATCACAGTAAAAGATGAACTAGGAGGATGAACACCACTGTCAGTTTTAGATTGCAAAATTCATGCTAAAATTTCAAATTTATCATCTACACTCTCTGTGAATCACCCTATCCCTCTCTCTTTAAGCGAGTCAGTGCTACCTCTTGTGTTGATGTATTCCTTAGAACTGATAATTTGTGTTCGCCTTCTCTTTGAAGGAAGTTCAAAAAAGGTTACAAATATCTGGACACCATTATTTTCACTTGAACTCGTTATATCTGTGTCTTAAGTCTCTTATCTCTTAGTTTTTTTTTCTTTATTTTGTTGGTGACATTTCATGTAAATTTATCTCATTTTACAGTCCTATAGTCAACATCATGATCATCCTTCTAATTTTCATTTATCCTAGAAAGTTCTGACGTATCTCTGCATCAATTTACTTTACAAGCATGCTTTTCTCTTATAGAAAAGCCTCCTAAAAATTATGACGAATCACGAAAGCGTAAACAATATTTTTAAGCATTGAACTAATGTATGTATATGCCTTTTAACAAATGCCATCAATTTTGATGTTTGAATTTCGTGTTTGGCACCTTTTTTGCACGTGGCACCAGATGTCATATGATTGCTTCTTTCATTGTGAAGCAAAAGCTCTTGAGCTCAAAGATTTTACAAAGGGATTGATCATGTAATAGAAGTAACCATAAAACTAAACACGATAAAAAGTTTACCAACTAGTTTACCAAGTAGCCTCGCTTTCGAGTTGCGAACAGTAGAATGTTTATCAAAATTATTTTAAAATATAAAGAATCTCCTCGTAGAAACAAGAAGGTTGCAAAGCCTTGAGAAAACTCTGAAACCCTCTGATTAAGAATGCATGGTTATTCGTCCGTGGATTAAAATGAACTTAACCAAGTTACCGGACCTGGGGCCTTTCTCGAGGTCTTGGTTATTTTATTAGCACGAGACCTCATTTTAAAATCTAGGTCTATGAAGGAACAGAGCAGCTGGTCTGAACTCAAATACCAGTGCATTCTGTTTCGTTCCTGATATTTTCATGGAATATCACAACTACTAATGTCTCGAACCTAAATGTAAACAAGTAAAAAAAAATACAGTTTTTTGAGGCCGGTTACCATCAGGACATAGAGAAACGGGCCATTGGAATTCACGTCAAGCATTTCTAAACCTTTTTACACAAAGATGATAAATTTATCACCTAATAAATTAAACTCCTGTTTAACTAACTTCGGATACATATTTTCATCCGTAACTAATTTATTTCATTTCTCGGTGAAGAGATGATTCTTCGGTCTTCTCTTCCTTGAGCTTTAAAATATTACGACCGTGAGGGACTGTAAACTATTGGTCTTGCTTATCTGAACCTTCCTCAGGACTGCCGGTTGTTATTGTCTCTCTCGCTTCTTGTCTCCATTTCATTCGCCTGTTTTGAAACCAGACTTTCACTTGGTTGTCAGACAACCCCAACATAGATGCCAGCTGATGTCGATCGGCTTTTGTTAAATATTTCTGAAGCTGGAAGCGTTTTTCCAGTCCCTTCCTCTGAAGATTAGAAAACACTGCCCTTGTCCAAGGCCTCCTTGGTTTCCTCGGCTTTGGTTGGCCGGGTAAGACTTGGCCTGGTATCGTCTTGTTAAGAACAGAGGTGCCATATTCGCCATACATGCCTGCCAATAATCAAAGGAGAAAGAAAGCCTTGTGTATAATAATAATGAAAATAACAATAATAGCAATGATAATAGTAATGACGATGATCAAATTAAAATGATAATAATAACTCTTGCCGATAAACATCTTGTTATACATAAACACGTAAACAGTAGCGATGTGAACCGACGTTTCGGAGTCTTCATGACGCCATTGTCAAGGTAAGCGTTAGGATTAGGAATTCTGCGAGTACTTATAACCGCAATAAATTTACATGGTAAAGAATGTGAGATTAAATTACTGAAATACTTTAACACGGAGTGAGTCGGATTGCACGTTCAGAGTTGGTTTTAGTTCTCTGATGAACAACATCTCGTGCACTAAGTAATCGAATTAACTTTTTGCATTTCTTTAGAACATCGAAGCTCCTCAGTAGATCTTCAGGGACCTTGTCATATTTGTCTTGGTGGTGTTTCTACATAAAGGATTACCGTTGTTTATGTCTGTCCACACGCATGTGTAAGTGTCTGCGCGTATAGCCTACATATTCTGCATCACGCAGGTCATATTGAAAACGATAAACAACGAGTTGTTGGTTTATGATCTGTGGGTTTTTCTCTTCTACCTTTAGGTCTCAGTTAAATATACGGCTAACGAACACTGGTTGGATAATTATGTCAAGAAACAACTCAAGAACCTCAGCCTAAAAGTACCAACAACTGTCCAACCCGTGTTTATGAATAATGACAATGCATCTTATTCTACTGGGACAAACCAGATTTACATGAAGTTAGTATCATCTAAGCCCCAAAATTCAAACGAACTGTAACTAAACATCGTAAATGAACATAAAAAAATAGTGTTTAATAAACCCACTGACAAGAGGCGGACCAGTTAGCTATTTACAGAGAGCAGCCGAGGAGTTGAATTCGGGGCTACCGAGAACAAATCCAGTGGCTAGCAGGGTGGATTACTTGAACCCGAGACCACCAGACTGACTTATGTGCTACTCCGCCACCCAGTCACACGGCCACATGGCCTCACTGCTATCAACATTAGCAAAGGAAGATACCATAATTTTAGAAATTTTAAAGAGAACTATTCTTTTCCAATGGAAACCGTGTAATTTCTATCTCCATTACTGAAAAGTATATTTCAAATGACTTTACTGCCCACGTTTTGTTAAACTAGAATTTCAAAAATTTTCTTCAAATGTGCCGCCATTTTGAAGGTAGCTCGATAAACTGGCCGCCCACCCATCAAGTAATAGGTCCTCTCTATTTGACGTAAATATTGGGGATCGTTCTCATAGCGATCGATCCCTAAAACTCACGTTACCCTCTCGCGTAACCTTGAAAGTGAACCGGCACCAATTGCACCTCGGTCACTTGCGGTCCCCTGTGCTTTAACCACCATAATCTCAATACTTTTCTCCATAATTTCCTAGATGCTTACAAGGAGAATTTGTCTGATAGTCAAGAGCATCTTCAAGCTAGTGATCATTTCCTTTACTTTCGTGACCTAAATGTGATTCAGGGGTGATACTATACGGATAAACTAGATACCAGTCTTTCTCAGGGTTCAAAGGATTAGAAAGGATGTTTGTTTTTACTTTTAGTCCTCATCAGCTCCTTATGATATTCATTTGATCTGATTGGCGGTTATGAATACTTTGGTATTAAACTGTTTTATAATTTAAAAGCCAAGCACTCTATCTCACCTGTTAATGGGCTGTACGAGTATGGAGTATGGCTGTAGCAAGCTTCACAATTTGAATGAAGGAGCGATCCACAAAGTAAAGGCTGCGCATGCGTAGCTAAATAAGGTGAAGCCCAATAAGTGGCGTGTAAGTGATCACATGCGCTAGGAACCAATGGGTAAGCACCTGAAAGAAAAACAGCTTAATATTTATGATCTATCTTACTCTTTTTGGGTCAATTCAAGCTGTGACCGAGTCAAAACTGAACAGCGACAACACCAAAAAGAGCCACTGCAATATCAACAACCATTCCAATATTTACTTGTACTTTTCACGCCTAACCTACGCGAAAATTAAATAAGATTCCTGGCTGCTTAGAAAACTTAGAAATGGCTAGCCGAGCCAGGCAACCAACTGATACAAATATCTGAAAACAAAATAACTTGCAGGTCGTCAAAACGGTTCTAACTTACTCGTTCGATAAAAGGAAAAGGAGAGTAAAAAACGAAAACCGCCCCCCCCTCCCCCCGGCACAAATCTACATCTGCACGGAGAAGGAGGAAGTAATAAAACAAGACTGCATTTATTACTGCAACTATTGGCATTACTAGAGGCAGATTACTAGTTATTAATTATTTCCAATAAAAATCTGATTGCAAAGAAATAGCAGCATCATGTACGAACGACTAGTAACATTAAATTAGTAAGATGAGTCCCGATAACTCGAACCGTCGGTAACTCGAATTCCCTGCCAACTCGAAGCAAAACTGATTTCCCTTGGATTTGCCTCATATATTTACTGTAATTTAATGACCAAGTAGGTATAACAATTTAACTACAGACTAGAAATCCAATATGTTTTAAAAAAATCATTCATAAAAAGTAATAATTAATACCTCGAGATAGGATCATTCTAAATTACATCCTTAAATTATGAAAGAGAAAAGGTTAGAGTATTTACATTGAACTGAGGAGCTCCATATTTGAGGGTGCTCAGAATTTATGTTAAAAATTCCTTTATTTTAGAAGCAGAGATTATGACCTGCTTAAAATCTTTTGACTAGAAACATCTTTATACTGTACAATGAGGTAGTGTTTCTTATCGACCAGTGTGAATAATGAATCAAACACAGAGGGTGTATGTCCACTATGAATTTTTATTCGAAGAGAAAGATCTCAGCCTTATCTTACGGAAGGTGAGATCAGGTAGCTTTGCGATATCTCCAAAAGTCGGATACCGGACTGGAGTCTATATGGTTTACATTCATACAATTTATAGAGCCAGTGACATTAAAGAGCAGTTTCCTTAGTGGAGGATAAAAATGGCAAGGTTAGGTTTTCAAGTCAAGTGAAAGCTTATTCGGCAGAACTCGACCATGAATAGGTATTGATCAATTCATTATTACGATTTGATTCAAATACTCTCAGATTTAGTGCTTAACGAAAAATAGTTCCATTTGCAAAAAGATCATAATTCTGACTTAATCCAGAGTTTCAGAGGACTTACTTAAGTCATTCATATGAGCGTCGGGAAAAACCATAAAAAATCAGGTTGTAGATTTGACACAGTGTGCCCCCAGAAAACAAACTAGCATTCGGTAGTTAACTTTTTATGTTTTTATATTAGTATAAATGGTGTGGTGATTGAGTCATAACTATTCATTGACATCTCCGCAAGATATCCCCTGGGCAATTGCTTGATGTTTCCTCAAGAGGAAACCAATGAAACGAAACAATCATTCATTGCTTAATATCACTACCTTCGCAAAGTCACACCTAAATTGTTATTTCGTCTAAGAAGATAAGAAACTCGCCCCTTAAAACGTTTCAAAGAATATACGCCATGGAACTAGATACATTACACAGATATTTCCTGTATGATAACTTGTAAGTTGAACCAAAAGCTCTATCCTTGTATATTATTCACAGCGTTTCACAATGTACTCTAAGAAACATCGTAAATGAAAATCTTCAAGTTTCTTCATAGTGGTTTTCTTATATAGAGTATTCAACCATACAACTTGCATGCTTGTATTCTGATTTGTAATTCTGCGGACAATACATCACAGGATACTTCCACCCTTCAGTTGGTAGATGAAGCTTAGTCCTAAGCCCTTACTGAGACCATTCAAAAGAAAAGCTGTACTTTCACGTGGTAATGTTTACTTCGCTGTAAAAGGTGACTTCAACTTTTAAATCTCTAGATGAAAACTTAGTGTGTGATTATGCAAGTGAAAGCGATAGAGCTGTACTTTCGTGTGGCGTCTGTTATAGTGTACAAGGTACTCCCAATTGTAATGTGTATGCCTGTGTGCATAAAAACTAAGTATGTTACCAATTTAATGAAAGCCATTGAGAAGCTCTCCCATATGATACTTTTTATTGTATTGTTTTGAATCGAAGATGACCCTCTATTATATCAATGAAAATCCAACTAGCGATCACTGCATTGAAATTAAAGTTTTCTTGCCGAGCTTTTATGTGATTTTATCACTGCTGCGCGTGATTAGAAATTTCCGGTTGTCTGCATTCAAATGAAGAGTTAAAATTGTTTTTAATCACCCCAGTGAAAACGTTATTACCTAGATTTACTTAGGCTTTAAGTGTCTCAATTAGATGCCAAAAAACTTAATTCATAGACACTGAGGTTACGTTGTTGCTACGTTTTTTACTCTTCTGATGAACCCATGTTTACAAGCAGTTCATTTGTAAACTGACACTACTCCAGCAAAGCTACGTAAAAGTTGTTAAAATGTTTACATCTATGAGAACAAGAAAACTTAGAGTGTGATCATGTAGTACTGTCATTTTGTACTGTTTATTGTGTCTTACAGGATGGTTTGTATAGGTCACGTCTGCCAGATTACATCCTGCTCATCGTGACCATTAAAATAGAGTTCTCGTTTCTGCTGTTCTTCACAAGTGACTTTACCTTCAAACTACGAAAGAGATCTCTCTCAAAAACACCCACACGTAGAAATCATCTCAAACAGTTGAAAAAGTCATTTTACGTTAACGCACGTCAAGAAATAGAAAACCGTGATACATGGTCCCGAACTCAAACAGCATTAGCTGTTTTTCAGCAATGAAAGTGGAACCCCGCTCGCTTCATGTTTCATGTCGTTAAAGTGAATACTATAATCAACGTTCGCCGGCTGTGAATCATCACAAAACGCATTAGTCATATATGTGGTACTCGTATCAAGAAGAAATATTTATTGTTATTTTTCCGTTACTAATGAAATAATCAATCACATGTGGGTCATAATGGCAGATAAATAATTTTTTTTCACGATGTAAAACATAATTTTATCTCCGTGTGTGGGAGAACGTGGGAAAACGATCATGATAATGATAATATAACAAATTCCATCCAGATGTGCATTTCAAAAAACCCCCTCCCCCCTCAAAAATATAAATCGTGTTTCATATCTTGTTTTTCCTATCGAAGTTCTGGTCAACCAAGGCAGATGGCGTTGGCTTTAGGATCTATATACTGTAAGAAATATCTGAAACATGGTTGAAGTTTTATGACATGTGATAATTTGAAATGCTCTCTTTTAAATAAAATAAACAATTCGAGGTCAAAAATGTGCTGATATTAGTGACTAATTGCTGCTTCATTGTGCTAATGCTGTGCTAATTGTTCAATCGTTCTTGTGTTAACCATATTGTTTGCAATTAGGCTGGTGTTTTATTTTCATTTGATGAACAAAGACTCGCCATAGTAGAAGTTAAACTTACAAGTCAACTGCTTTCATTAGCTACTGTCTAGCTCTTCAAGCAATTACAATGATACTGGACATTATATTGTCACTAGTCCATTAGTGTCACTTTATCCGTGTTACCCACTGAAATGAAATTTGTTTTTCGAAAGTCCCCCGAAACGTGTCTTTCAGTCTCCAAAACACGTGTCCCATTGACATCAAAAGCTTTCTCTTAAGCTTAATTATAACCTTTCAAATTCTTATAAACGGCTTTGGATTTTCGTGCGACTTATGATAAAACAGAAACATTTCGTCTAATTGGGTGGCCATTCTTGGTACAAGAAATCAGACAAGTTTGACACAAAATACCTGATCTTGTCATTTGGACAAACTTTCTCACGCTAGATTGAAAGATCTCGTGAGTAACGTTGACTCTATTAATAGTTCTTTGTGAGTTTTGAAATCCAGAATAGTTTTTGTTATGTAGTAAAAATATTTGTCTTTCCGATCTGGTGACGAATGATGTCCATTTGAGCTTTTATCGCATTCATATAACAAAGCAACACAAATAAGCAAATGGATTTTAGAAAACCGATTCAATCTATTGCGCGCCTCCATTGTATGGCCTTTGTTGAACTGTCTCTCTTGATTTCACTCATCTTGCACTTCATTCTCTCAACTTTCTTGGAAAAGGTGATCATCACCATCGACTACAAAGGAATTAGCGTCTAATCCATTTCTAGCTGATCGCCTAAGATGATTTGTGTATTCAAGTTTTGTTTTGAGGCAGAACAAGGCGTGGTCCTTTGTCTAATGCATGACAGCTTTTTGGAGACATAAAACCTTTGCGTTTGGTTAGAAATGCAATACACCGACAACAAAAATGTCCTTCGTTTTGCAACCACTTGAACATGTCAGGCGAAAAATCCGGAGCATCTTTCATCTCAGAAGCCACAGAGACAGTTCGAAAAGGTTTGGTTCTCCTCGGAATCTTGGTACCCAGCAAGGACTCAGCTTTCGTCAACTCTTTATTGTTAATTTTATTTGTGCAAATGAGACTAACAAGTGTCCGCTCTAGTAGCCTAAATAACCATAGTAAAAGTGATAAATCTAAACCAAAAGCAGCTGCCATTTCTGAATGGAAGGGGAAATGAAATGCAGTAACCGTGTTTTTCAGAGCCATTGTCCTCGGGGTGTACACTTCTAGAGATTTTCAAGTTCTCATTTCCGATTTTTGTAACCCTACTCTTGAGGAAAAGTATTCAAAAGGTCTTTTCTGGACTAAACGGATTTACAACTCAAAAAAATTGACATCATTCTTCTATAAAAAACAAGAAAACAAAATTATTATTTAACTCTTGCCACATGTTCGCCTATCCAGTAAACCTTTCTTAGATCTTTTATAGTTAAACCAAGTTTCTGAAACATTTCTTGTTGGAGTTCAAAGAATGAAGAATGAAGAAAAAGAGATTAAAAGCCCCTTTAACATGAAACATGTTTTATTTTATAAAAACAAATCTAAATAATTATGATATATAGCTAAAAGGATGTCATTAATATGATACTCTTCAACACAACGAAAAAAGCGTTTAAAGAAGAAACATGACTTAAAAGGACTTGAAAGATGGTCGGAGAGATTGAGGAGTAATTAATTTTTGTGCACGAAGGAACGAAACAACAGAACATGTTCATGATGATAATAGTCATGATGATACACAAAAAACATCGAGAGTCTTACAAAATCTCCTATCGAAAGTTTTCAAATGACATATAACTGTGCCTCGGATACTTTGAAGGAGGATTTGCAAATTTTATTCGCCCCTCTATTCAGCAAAAGCTGTATGCAGATACAAAAAAAGTACTGTCCTAGAGGTAAAATTTAAAACAATTTCAGGCTCTAATATCTGAAGACATAAAAAATAGTCAAAAAGAGGTATTTTCTAGAATCTATCCCAAAAAGTCAATCGTTTATATCTTTCTCTATATTTGTTTGAAGCCCTAAGAATTGAGAAAAGTCTGAAAAATGTGTGCCATTCTTCCTGCAGACAGAATATGTTAGTTATCTCAAAAATCATTCGTAAACACGTTGGCATTAAATCGACAAGGAAACAATGTATTACGGGTCGATAAGTTTACCAATTAAACATATAAAGATATGTTTTCATAGAAAAGACAGCTAATACTGATTCACTTGTTGTAAATTGCACGTACATGTTGCACAGCCTTGTATCGCGGGACAAATATTTCGTACGGGTTTGTGCTTGATTCTTCTACTTAACGTGTTCACTTGGCCTTCGAAAGGCGGCATGTTGTGGTGTACAGAGGGAAATAACCACAACGAAGAAATTTGACCAAGTATAATTGAACTTATCATGAGAATATACTAATACACCGAAGAAATTACTTTCACAGCTTGCTATGTACATATTCTATGTACCCATAGTTTGGTAACAAATCGATTTGAAACCAGTAGAATGTTAAATAGAAAACACATGGTACAGTTATTATCAAAAAGCTAACAAATTCTTTTGTAACAATTCAGCTTCTTAACGAAAGGCGAATTCGATCGCTTTTGGTTATTGATACTCCAATGTTTCGACATAGCTCAGCAATAACATCTGTGCAAAGGCCTATATCTTTACTCTTTCTCCATTTCTCTTTCAAAGAGTTTTTCTCCTCTCATTTCCCATGAACAATTGTAACCCAGTTAATCTCACGAAAATTCAGTGTTGTCTTTTCCTGTTACGTTATCTGACTGTAGATGTCTCATCAGTTTTCATAAGTAACCATCACATAACCAGATTTAATGAAATAACCCCCTTCTTTGACAAATAGACAATTATAAACTTCAAGGTCTATCCATCGAGCCAATTTCTTTAAAGATAACTCGCACCTTAAAATTTTTCTCTAATAATGAGGATCCCTTTGAGTAGCGTATAACTAGAGGGCGTCTTAGTGCAGCCCCATAAGACGCGTTGTTATTATAACCAAAATCCCAAAACCCGAGACGTTTGTCAGAAAATTGATGTTTTTTCTCTTGTATGGTTAGCGCCCCTGTTCTTCATGGTCGATTTTTTCAGAGGCACGATCAGAAAAGAAAGAACTTCTGAGTTTTTGTTTAGATTGTAGCATATAATCCGAGCCTTTTTTGGTCTGCTGTGCTGTACATATCACGGAAACAAAGCGATTTTCACATCAAAGCAAATGTTCTAGCTATAGGAAATGCGTGTGACACCAGAAATGGTTATTGCTGTTACCCCATGTCAGATCCGCTCGACAATTGTACATAGAAGCAGGAACAGATCTAATCAGTGTTAACTACAGATGCTCAGTGTGGTTGGAATTTATTTCAAACCTAAGATAGGCGTTGAATTAAGAGTCACAACATCAGCTATTACCGTTTCCTAGGTTGAGCAACCTTCCTGTCCTATTTGCTATTTACAGAGACAGAATACTCAACAGCGATTTTTCAGGCTGAAAGATTGATTTTGTTTAATCATAAACTAGGGATACTATTTACACCATTTAATGAAGATAACGGGTCATTGCGAAAATAAAAGTTGTAAAGTGCTCGCCATGCCCGCAATGTTCGACCTATTTGCTGACAAAGACAAAAACAAATTTTCACCCTTCTCTCTGAGCGTCAACCACTTCAATAGTTTTATTCGTACAAGGGCGCAACTTCCGTAAATATATCTTTGATACAATAGATACGTTGTCGTTTCCGTTGTTTGATCGGCTTCAGAAACCGGGCACAGCGTGTTAGATTATAACGATCAAGTGTAAGCAGTCGAGAGCGCGCTGTGCTCAAAAACCGCTACAGGATGAAAACATCAACGAGCGAAAGGGCCATGAGATATTTGAATGGCAACTCGGCTGTCTGATCATTTCACAAATAAACATAAACGCGAAATAACATTGGTGCCTAGGCCTTGCCTTGCTCACCTGCAGTAATATGTGATAAAAGGGAAAAGATAAGCTTGGAAAACAATTAATTTAATATTCTTCTTTCGACTCTTTTAAACATGCTTTGGTATTTCTTTAATTAAGTGTCGCATTGTGTTCTACTTTGCAAAGAAACAGATTGCTCGAGCTGACTAGGTTGAGAAGCTGTTCGTAATATTCCATGCTCTGTTCCCGCGCTGCTTAAATCGAAAGCTTTTAACTACACAAATGCACAATCATAAAGTGTTATTATTGATCGAAAACGGGAGTGGATAACTTACGATAATTGAGGTTCTAATCGACCATATTTTCCTCTGCGGTTGGCGAAGCAGAAGGCAGTTATAAACATACAATTTTTCCTTTTGTTAATATACCTCACGGTCAGCGAGATAAAATCAGAGACGTAAAAGTTTATCGCTTGTCTGTTGCGATCTAGTGTCGAGCCAAGCTGTTTAAAAATCTACCCATTTTAAATAAAACCATAAATGTTTTATGAGACTTTTTACGTATGAAACACACTTAGTATCTGCCACATAAGGCTGTAAAAAAATAAGTAATCTCGGATAAATCGGAAAACAAACCGTCCGCGAAACAAGCGCAAGATAGCGAGTTGGTCGCATCAAGATTTTAAGTTTCTTCTTATCTTTCTTACCTAACACAGGTAGTCTTTCTCTTTGTTCCGTTTCGTGTCTTGCGAGTATTTGGTCTACGCCAAAGCTTAACTGTTGATAATTTGGTATCGGGGTTGATGCGCCAATTCCACTGCCAGTTTGGGACCGGGATACCTGTGGTCGAGCTAAAATATCGTCAATTCTGAACGACGCCATGTTGTTCTTTGCACGGTAATCCAATTTAAAACTCGTGCTTAAGCTAAGTTGCCGTTGTTAGCTGGCCAACGAGAAGTTTGTAAAGCTATGGGTTGCGAAGATAGCAAAGACAAAGAGGTTCATCAGATGTCGATCTTCAATGGCCCACGGGGAGCTAAAAATGACACTACGTTGTTGATTGTCACTTCGAGTTCCATTAGCGTTGATTTGTTGATTTTTATCATCTTAGCTTTTCTTTGTCAATTGGAGACATATACATATATACGTAATGTGTTTCCTGAATAGTGCTTTTTGAGGAATGGTCTCGATTGATATCTGTGTTCACAGATGGGACGGGTTAGACGCATAGCACGCAAAATGGGTTGTGGACGTTTCTCATATCGCCCACAATCCCCACAGATTAGTAAAAGATACCGTTGTTTATAATCCAGTTATCTTGGTTGACACTGAAATTAAATTTCTCTGAACCGTAAGTTCTGCTGATTTGGAGAAAAAAGGGAAAGGATAGTGAACAGCCTTGTAAAAACAGCATATATTTTCGATTTACGGTGAAGAAATCACTTTGAAAGTAACTCGCTTATCTCATATCTTATGGTGTCGAGTTTACTCGGATGGCCATTGGGAGTCAATTATCACCCATTTAAGGTATTAGATTCACGTATGTTCATTTACACAGCCACACACGTGTATTAATATATCCTTTGGCTTAATTAATTCCTCACTCCATCACTGCATGTGTGTTTTTCATGTAGATGGAAAAGATAAAGGTGTTTAACTTTACATTAGATCGTTGTTCGAATGAACCCTGCTCGAGATTGTGCTGCTCTTCTGATATTTTCTTTTCAAACAGCTATGTAAAATCAACAACAGCAAACATCTTGTTGCCCACGAGTATTTCCTTCGTTTATGATTTATGCGGTTTTCTCTAAGGCGATAATTCAATTATCGCATGATTAAGATGGAATATGATCCGAAGCTTTAACAACTAATCACCAGAAAACTGTCTCTGCCAATCTTATTACTTTGTGTCCATATCCTGATACAGTGCCAAGTTAGTGAGCTAGGGTAGAGTGGTTTCAGTCAGGTTAAATCTCGTATAGAGTCAAACGAGCACCGATGATGTTTGCTAATAATCCATTGGGCAAGATGCCTGACAAAACACGAATTATCACAGATACAAGCAGTCAATGTTATTTTAAGAGAACGTCGGCGTGATTATGATCGGTGTTTAAAGGTCTTTAAAGATACGAAACTGGTTTCAATAACTACGAAAGCGCATTTAATCCTTTAAACAGGTATTCTTGTTTATATCGGATTATATAAATCGCTTGGAGAGGTATTCAACCATTTTCAGCCGAGCCAGTAATTTCGCTAGTACATTATCACGCCCAGGACTCTAGCGCCTTTAATCGAACTGTGCACGCTATGTTTTTACTGCGTTTAAGAAAATATCATCGGTATGATTTGAAAGAAAACTCTCCATATTGTTGCCTTCGGTCATGACAACAGCATTTGATTGCGTGAATGTAGCAGGTCAATTTCATCAATATCCTAACATGTCAATTTCGATGACGGAGGGCATGCAATATGACAATTTATCTTTTTACATCAGTGAGTAACTCTCTCATATAACATCCATATTTCAGTACGAATTTTTGCGCAAAATTTATGTGCGTCACATCGTCTTAGATGGAGCACTGCACTGGAAGAAATGTAACACTGATAAAATACCAAGGAATAAAAGACTAAAAGAGATGACACAACCAACAAACAGGATTATTATTTAGTACTTGACAACTTCTTTGGTTTCTCCAACTTTATGAATTAAACCAGTTTAAAGGCAGTCATCACTGTGGCAAGAGTTTCTTTGGCTTCACAGTCATTTCAGTCCATTTTACAAATAGCCACCTAGTAGATCGGGTCTGATTCCTTTGTCTGTGCTGACTAGGTAACATTTTTTCCGAAAAAATTTTCTGGATACCGAAAAGCTGTTAAGTTGTTGACAGTCAGCAGAATTCATTCAAGTTTATGTTTGAAATTGGTGTATTAACGGAGAAGGTAGAAAATATTTGTCTTTGTACACTGTAGTTTTTCAATACAGTGGCTCTAAAACGTCTCATTTTTTGAAATGTTTTACATTCTTGATCTGACCTTTCATTCAAAATCTTTGTAACCTTTACATTTTTAACCGGCCTTATGTATTCTCATACGAAAAATTTATGTCAAAGCTTTTAATACAACATGTGTCAACAACGCAACCACGCCAGAACATAAGTCACAGTCACGTAAAGAGCTCACTTCGAGTACCTTGTCTAAGTTTCACAAGTTAATTATCCAGTGAATCATTCACACAGAGGAACAGCGAAACGCTTTTGTAACAGTTGTTCAGATGCCTGTTTAAACTGCTTCATGCAGCGGAAATATTAATGGCATCTTGCTCAGTTAGTTTGTATTTCTCAATGTTTGCTCCATGGGATCTTGAGAGAACAACAGTTTATGGAGATTCGTCCGGTAATGTTTGCGTTCTGTTGTCGTACGGTGAACTAACTCTAGGTAGAACAGATGTTGCGCTACTCTCAGGGTAAACAATAAATTTACTCTTTTTACAAAAGACGATGATGAACTTTTTATAAATCTTTTCACCTGCTTGGCTAGTCAGAAGTTTCAAATCCGGTTTTTCGAAAAGGTGACAGGTTTAATGACACAGGCTGCCTATCGAAGAATAGAGCACAGTTCATCCCTATTTACACTCTACAATGTACACCCATCATCTGCTAACCTAATCTTCCGTCTTAAAAATCTCGCAACAATTTAAAGTCCACGTCCCCTGTCCGAAAGTTTGGTTTGGTGTCTCAATCGCAACCACGTACGAATACAACATAAGCTCAGACTGAATTGCAACAACATAACAAGGTACATAGTTACTTAACCAACCTGTATTGTCTGATTATAATAAAGCTCCCTTGAAAGTATTTCAATCAATTCACGTGGTTTCGACGTGGCACAAAAGACAAAAGAGCAGCGTCAGTTGGAATTGCCTCAGCTGTTTTTACGGCATGTGAAAACTACAGTCTGGGCAAAGAGACAAGAGCAAGGCCTTTTCATTTCAACAATGAAATCAGTGGCAGCAAGTGAATTACATTCAAATGCATCAAAGACATATTTATCTTTTACTCGACTATTTCACCTTCCTTTTATTTACAAAGGAATACATATTCTTCTTCGTGAAGTTTAATTTACCATAATGAGACATGAACAAAATCTTATCAAAAGAGGTCTGTCAAATTCCGGAGAAATGTTTGACTGTCCTCGTTGTAATATGACCCAATATTTACAACCTAAATTTTTGTATCCGGCACTGTCAAAGTTTTTTTTACCTGTGGGCATTCGGCTTGTTCTACATAAAATTTGCGTTATACTAACGATCCCTTCGATCGCCGATAATTCCCTACTTTACCTTTCTTTATGAGCAGACATCTCAGTTTTAAAATTTTTTTTAAGCAGCCTGTACCTAATCTGCAACCTGACAACCCTATAAGCAATACAAGAGTAACAATTTCTTGGGTCAGTCGACTCCTTGACATATTTATGTCTCCCTCCCCTCCCGTCCTACAGGTTTGTTTGAAAATTTAATCAAAAGGATTTGTGTTCGCTGCATTTCCAACTCTAGAGAGGATGAGAGAGTTGGGTGACCCGTTAATTCACAAACCGTAGCTTTCACGTACCTTACAACCTAACCTATGGCATCAAGTTTGTAGAAGTAGTAGGGGTAGCAGAAGTCTCTATTTCTTCACAAGGTGAAAATTACAAATCTTATCTTACAAAGTGAAAAGGTTAAAAAGTAGTAAAAAGGTGAAAAAAATAATAAAAACATGCAAAAAATTTCTAAACTTACAACGCTATAGAGTACTTAGAAATTAGACGATTTGCATAAGAATCTTTAAAACGGTCTGCATTAACTTTGGGCAATGACAAGATTTGTGTTTTCTCACAACGCTGTCTGAGCCCACTCTAGTCTTTCCCTTCTTCTTATGAGCACACGTATTTTCCTACTTCTCTTGCAGCGCCGTTGTTTTGTGGACAGGAAACATCCACGCTATCATTCATGTTTCTAGTGTCCAATGCTAAGTTGCTGACTCAGCGAACAGGCTCATCTTTGAGGTTACGTTTATTTCGTAATCACGAGGCTAAAAATCTTGCGTGCGGTACTACTGACGAATACGAATTCTCAACATTTTCTTCCACCATTCATTCAAACGTCAGCTCAGAAGGTGACTTTTGTTTCGTTGGTTACCTGGTTGTTTCTGGTTTACCTCTTCGTCGTTAGAAAATCAAACTTTTACAATTTTAACTGCAATACTGTCTTAAAAATACGCAACAGTAGATCATTTTTCTACTCGCGACGCGTAAGTTATTCTCTGCTATCAGTGAATACTACCGACAACACATGGCGAATTAATCAGTTTGAGAAGGGTACTTGAAAGAGACGGAAATTTGTTTTCCAGATTGAGCATTTGATACAGCTTAAGTAAGAAGTGACATTCAGACATGATAACGGATGGCCTCATCCAGACAATCTGCTCTCAACACCGGAAGAGCAAATTACAGCAGCTCTGATCCGTAACGGCGATTTCGTGGTTCCAGTTTGCTTTATGTTTAATATCAATATGGAGATCAGGTAAATGTGAAATGAAGTCTGCTATGTTTCTACATATGTTTCAAGGACAATTAACCGCCTTATTGACATTTGAGAGAGATTCAAAATGATTAAACTCCTTCCTGTTTTGAGAGGGTTAAGAGATAGAAAGACAGAGAATTTCGATATAGAACTGCCAGAAACTTGAAGGATTATCGGAACTGTACATTTTACAATTCCATTCAAGAAAGTCAAAGCACTTAAGGTTTCCCTAATCTTGCTCCCCAAGAGTTTCTCCCTCTGTAGTAGGACTTTAATTTTAATTTTTTTCAAAAGTCAGTAAATTTCGATATGAATTGAAGTTTCCTGAGGTGAGTTAGGAGATTAAATTTAGAGGAAAGTCAGAGAATAGTAAAATGTAACTTTGGAAAAGATCGTAACAGTTGGAAAAAATGCCTTTAAAGATAAATATATATTTTTTAAACTACTACCGTTTATTACATTTTGCATATATATATATATCTTGTAT